AAGATCCTGCTCTACCAGTGCAGGTGTTTGTATGATGCCTCAGACTCTGAACAAGATTCTGATCTACCAGTGCAGGTGTTTGTATGATGCCTCAGACACTTAACAAGATCCTGATCTACCAGTGTAGGTGTTTGTATGATACCTCAAACACTTAACAAGATCCTGNATGATGCCTCAAACACTTAACAAGATCCTGATCTACCAGTGTAGGTGTTTGTATGATGCCTCAAACACTTAACAAGATACTGATCTACCAGTGTAGGTGTTTGTATGATGCCTCAGACACTTAACAAGATCCTGATCTACCAGCTGTATACCTAGGTTCTATCCCAAGAAACAACCAGTCAAATATTATGTTTCTATACATTTCAGTCCTTGGGAACAAGTTGTTTGAAGTGTTGATCATATTTGACCCCTTGTGACCTTGAAAGTAGGTCAAGGTAATTATCATTCTCAAACCTTGTCACACTTAATCCTAGAAAGCTCTCAGCCAAATATTATGATTATATGCCTATCGATTATTCAGAAAAAGTTGTTTTGATGATTTTGACATATTTGACCCCTGTGACCTTGCAAGTAGGACAAGGTCATTTTGTTCTCAAACTTTGTGGGACCAACAAACTTTTCAGTCGAATATAATGACTCTAGGCCTGTCCATTCTTCAGATGAAGTCATTTAAAGGAAAAGTTGATGGATGACGACGGACAGAGGGACGGACGACAGACGCTGTGACATAAGCTCATCACTAGCTGTTTGGGCAGGCAAGCTAAAAGCTACTTGCCTCAAATATGTTGTGTGGTTGTTGTTTGTACATTTTACATGTCATTTTTGCAATTTTACATTGGCAATGACAACGTAGCTTCTGATGATTTTTATTATATATGTTGTCAGATCTAGGAATCGATCGTACGCAAGATAATGGAGCATAATCAAAAAAATAAATTTACTTATAACTAGAACACTGACAGGTCAGTAAGGGCCCCGCCTTGTGACAATTATATCCCCCATAATCATCAAGAAGCAATCTGCCCATATAGCTGATCTTGATGTTTGACATTTGGACTTCAAAAAGAATCGCAAGGAAGCAAAATATATATTGTATATGCACTATGATGTGATGTGTTTCCTTCCACCTCCATATTTGCTGGGCTAACAGAAATGTAATTACCGGTGCGATACTCATTTGTTAGCTTTGATTTGTTTTATTTTACCTTATATACCTCCTCCATCAAGAGCCAGTGTCAAAGTCAGAGATCCACTTTGTCTTTGACCTTTGGACCCAAATGACCTTGACCATTAACCCAGTGACTCTGATCTTTGGTCAGTTCACATAATCTTTAATTCTGACCAACTTTGCTTCTTAATATCATAACAAAATGTTTATCAGTGAAAAATACAAAACTTGACCTTGACCCTTTGCACCCAGTAACCTGGAACTAAGGTCAGTTGACTCTGTGTTAAGTTCTGAACTAGTGAAAAGCTACAATATTTGACCTTGACCCCTGACCCAATGACCTTGACATTTGGTCAGTTGACTCCTTGTTTAATTCTGATCAACTTTGCTTCATAATGTTATAACAAAATGTTCATCAGTGAAAAGATGTAAAATTTGACCTTGACCTTTGCACATAATGACCTTGACATTTGACCTTGACCTTTGACTTTGACTGTTTACCTTAATGTGTATTTTTATGAACTGAACATCTTGACTAAGTTTCATGTACATCGGTCAATAAATACTAAAGTTATCAGCCAGGAAAAAAAATTGTGGACGGACAGACAGACAGACAGACAGAGTGATTACTATAGGGCACCCGTTACTCTTCGATACGTGGCCCTAATTAATACCTTATATGAGTTAAATATTAGTAAAATAATGTTATGCATGATTGTTAAAATAGTGATTTCTTACTGTGATTACGACCGCCATGGCAGATTATGTGAGCTTTTTTTTCCAATTCTTGTTAATATATGGCCATTATGCGCAAATATGGTATCAATACTTGTGTTGCTATGTTCAGAGCCTTTTAAATTCAATATTAAAATGCTGGAGATCACAATGGCAATGAATAGTAAAGTGGAGAGGAAATGAATGTGTTTTCAGATTTCAATAATATACAAGATTTAGTATTTCGTCTCTCATGGTCGCACAAAAGAACACGTGTATAAGAATACTTAATCATTAATCAAAAGCAAAGTGACATGCCTGTATACCTTTACACAACTAGCAAAATATCAGATTTGGAAACATTGAAAAAGTTATGACACCCTCAGACGAAAGCATACATTTAATGATGTGTTTATGCATAGAGTGTGTTAATCTTACCTGGAAAAGAAAAAAAGTATAATCCATGTTTTGCTTAACATGAAAAATGATAGCTCATGTAAGGCAGTAATTGGTGCATAATGAATTTCTAGGAAGGCAGTGTGTTGAAATTCTGATGTTGGGACAACAGTAATTTGGCATCTTACAGTTTTGGTGTTTAATTTTTGCCCGTTCACGACAATGCAAGTGCCAAATAAACTAAAATAAAACTACATCCAAAATCTACCATCGTACAGTACATTCAGTTTTCCCAGGAGTATTCTATATATGCTAAATACCTTTTCTTTTCCCTGGAAAACCCTATCCTTCAGCAGTGAATGTATATATGGTTACATTTAAAAACCCATCATCCAAATCAAACATTAATAATATTTCTATAAGATTGGTATCATTTTCCATTTTTTGCCACACTCCCCTTTCCTTGGGATATTAACAGAATATCATTCATTTAATTTATACACCATATCATTCCCTTAGTTCAGGATTTCTCTATGCCAAATTACTTAAAAACATTGATTCTTTATTATACATTGTATCTTTACCTTCCAACAAGTACTTACTTAGTACTTTGATGTCTATGGTGTTGGTATCAGAGACTCCATGTGAAGCAGTCCATGTACCTTCATCTGTTGATCTTACAAGTGACGATATGTTGAATGTTGTTACACCGGTAGTTAAATCCTGAGAAAGGTCTGATGTAGTGCATGATCCTGGTCTCAGAATTGGTGCTGCACAATTATTTGATGATCCACCAGGCTTCGTTAAGAAAACTGCTGAAGAGATGCTGCTGGTAGTTATAAGTATCTGTAGATCACTGTTCCTTACTGCATTCTTGTTCAGTGTTATGGTCAATCCATCTACCAAACCTGTAACAAAAGATATTTCAACAAAATTTGGAATTACTTTAGAGTAGTTTACAATTGAGTTATGGTTTCAATATGGCGGCCATGTTAATTAAAAATGCCCTTCGTGTCTCGAGAGTGCCCTTTGCTGTACCAGGAGTTGCTTTTCGTTGGCAGGATAAGACTCAATAAACTGAGAGTTACAGGGGTGTCAGCATTTCAGTTGACAGATTTTGTGTTTTCATTCCATTTTCATTCCATTTTCATTCCCTTTCATTCGCATTTTCATTTCATTTCCTTCTCAAGATTGAATTCGTTCCGTTTCGCTCTGTCCCAGTCCGAGTCAAGCTTTCATTTCGTTCCATTCTATACTCGTTCCGTTCCATTGGCGAGGCGTTTGTTCATTGATGTGAAACAAAATGGCGGTAGTAACAGAGGCATGCCTCAAAAACTTATTGACTCAGCTTGTAACGACAACTCTACACTCTTTCGATTTTGTCGCACAATGTTTGTTTGAATAAACAATGTATTTGCCCTACTAAGCTGAGCCTAGGAGCTATTATATAAATATCACATTCATGAGAGGTCGATATTGCATATTTTCACCCCAAGGAAGCATTGTTGACCGAGGCTATTTTTATTTTATTATACCGAGTGGCATATTTAGGTGTTTCACCACTTCACCATTTTTAAAGGTCCTTGTGTTGATTTGACATAAACCAAGACTTCATCTCAACAGTTGTCGAATGAACCAACCATGAATGTGATTTGTGGCACTGGGACGAACCGTGCACGCATACGTTTGGCGCATGTGATATTTTTTGGAATGTTACCCTGTCTTCTTTATCTTTGTAAAACGAGCAAGTAACATTGAAAATGTTCACATCTTTCTCAACCAATCAGATTACGAGATTTTAACAGAAGGTATAATAATGCATTTTATCTCAATCAAATGTTACTTATAGAGTGTGACAACTCATTTCCTCGCTTATTGTTTTGAAAATGGGACACATTTCTTTTTTAAGCTTATATTTATAGGTTTTAGCCAAAGACTTTCCTTATTGTTAACAATTATACTAGGTGTTAGGAATTCAGTTTTATTCATCATATGTCACACTGTATGACAAAAAACAAGGGGCCAATGGGCCTCACCTGGTATTAATGTCACACTTGTAATCTTAAAAGTGGACTAAAACACAGGCAGAATATCAGTGTTTGATTCATAAGTTAGGTAGCTAAAAATATGATGCATGTGATCTTGAATATTTAACAAGGACATTAGGCTGAGTGGGTCAAGATCATTAATTTGATCAAACTTGGTAGTCCTTTATCCCAGCATGCTACAGGCCAAATTTCAGTAACCTGGGCCTTTTGGATAAAGGCGTGTGAAGATTTTACAACATTTGACCCATGCGACCTTGAAAGTGGGTCAAGGTCATTCATTTGGACAAACTTGGCAGTCCTTCATCCCAGCATGCTAAAGGCCCAATATCAGTACTCTGTGCCTTTTGGTTATTGAAAAGAAGTTGTTTGAAGATTTCAACATATTTGACCCTTGTGACCTTGAAAGTGGGTCAAGGTCATTTATTTGAACAAACGTCATAGTCCTTCATCCCAGCATGATACAGGCCCAATATCAGTACCCTGGGCCTTTTGGTTATTGAGAAGAAGACGTTTGAAGATTTTACGACATTTGACCCCTGTGACCTTGAAAGTGGGTAAAGGTCATTCATTTGAACAAACTTAGTAGCCCTTTATACCAGCATGATGCAGGCCCAATATCATTACCCTGGGCCTATCGGTTATTGAGGAGAAGTTGTTTGAAGATTTTAAGACATTTGACCTCTGTGACCTTGAAAGTTGGTAAAGGTCATTCATTTGAACAAACTTGGTTGCCCTTTATCCCAGCATGCTACTGGCCAAACATCAACAGCCTGTGCCTCTTGGTTATTCAGAAGAAGTTGTTTGAAGTAACAAGAGGCCCATAGGCCTTAACGGTCACCTGACATCTGATTCAAATTAGGACTGTCATCCAGGGGCGAATTCATATTTTTCGTCGGTCCGAGTGACCTTGCTGCATCCGCAGCAATAACTTCAGCAAATATGAACCGATTTTGATGAAACTTTGTATGCAGCTTTGTATCAATGAGATCTTAGATGAGTTTGAATACCAGACCAATTTGACCATAACTTAGATAGTTATTCCCCTTGGTAATTCTATTATTGTTGGACCCTGTGAACAAGATAACTGAAACAAGAGGCCCAGAGGGCCTGTATCGCTCACCTGGATACCTAAGCAATCATGGCAAACTATTCTCCAAATTAGATCAAGGGAATATGCCAGACCCCAAGGCCAATCCTTGTAGCATAGCTATATTAGATTGTTCATGCCCAGCAATTTTATGTATGGTTATGGGGTGGGGATCTCAACTGTTTCCAAGCTTTGACTCAGAAACTAGGTCCCTAGAGTTGTGGCCAGACCCCAGGATCGATTCTAATATCATGACTGCATTTGTCTCTTTTTGCCAAGCATTTGTATATATAGTTTTGGGGTGGGGATCTCAACCGTTTCAAAGTTATGACCCAGGGGCCAAGTCTGCAAGGGTGGGGCAGACCCTGGGATCAATTCTAATGTCATGACTGCATTCGTCTCTTTATGCCCAACAATTGTATATATAGTTTTGGGGTGGGGATATTAACCATTTCAAAGTTATGACCCAGGGGTTAAGTCTCCAAGGGTGGGGCAGTCCCCAAGGCCAACCTGGAAGCATATGTGCAATCATCTCTTTATACTCAGCAATTGTATATATACGGTTATAGGGTGGGGCTCTCAACTGTTTCCAAGCTGTGACTAAGAAACTAGGTCCCTAGGGGTTCGGTCAGACCCCAGGGTCTATTCTGATATCATGATTGCATTCGTCTCTTTATGCCCAGCATTTGTATATATAGTTTTGGGGTGGGGATCTCAACCGTTTTAAAGTTATGGCCCAGGGACTATGTCTCCAAGGGTGGGGCCAGACCCTAGGGACATCCTGGAAGCAAATGTGCATTCTTCTCTTTATACTCAGCAATTGTATATATGGTTATATGGTGGGGATCTCAACCATTTCCAAGTAATGCATTTTATTGGCCCCACCCCTTAGCCCGGGGGGTCAGCCCCACCATTTGTACAATTTTGAATCCCTGCCTCCCATGAATACTTCCGACCAAATATGATCAATATCCATGGCATAGTTCTGCAGAAGAAGTCATTTATAGCAATTACCAAATTGCCCCCTTTTGGCCCCACCCCTCAGCCCAACCGTTTGTACAGTTTTGAATCTCCACCACCTAGAGATGCTTCCAGTCAAATAAGGTTGATATCCATCACTTAGTTCCAGAGAAGAAGTCACTTAAAGCAGTATAGCCAAATACCCTTTTTGGCCCTGCCCCTCAGCCCCCTGGGGGGTCAGCCACACCATTTGTACAATTTTAAATCCCTGCCTCCCAGGAATGCTTTTGATCAAATATGATTGATATCCAGTGCACAGTTCTACAGAAGAAGTCATTCGTAGCAATATAGCCAAATTGCCCCCTTTTGGCCCCAACCCTAAGCCCCCTGGGGAGTCAGCCCCACCATTTGTACAATTTTTAATCACCATCACCTAGGGATGCTTCCAGTCAAATATGGTTGATATCCACTTCTTAGTTCCAGANCCCTGGGGGGTCAGCCCCACCATTTGTACAATTTTGAATCCCCACCACCTAGGGATGCTTCCAGTCAAATTTAGTTTAGTTCCAACCAGTGGTTAAGAAGAAGAAGTTGTTTAAAGAAATTGTTGACGTACGGACGGACGGACGACGGACGGACGACGGACGCCACGGTATGGCATAAGCTCACCTTGGTCCTTCGGGGTGTGAGTCCAATTTTGACCCAAGGGGTCTGTTTTGAACAAACTTGGTATCTGTATGTCTTCTGTTCTTGGTTAAAAGAAACAAGTAAAAGCGTAAATCAATGATTTATTAAATAAGGCCCAAAATTTTAATAGCACCTTGTTAGTAGCAAAAATGTGTCATGAATGAAAAACAAGAGGCCCATGGGCCTTAATGGTCACCTGATATATTTATACAGAGAGTTGATTTTTGTTTTTAACATGAACAGAAATATTATTCAAAGTGACAAACAAGAGGCCCAGAGGGCATGTATCGCTCACCTGAATATAATTAAAGTAATTGGTATGAAGTAAAGATATAGCACTCCATGGTAGGTGCTGTAAGTACATATGAAATTTCAGAAAGATCCATCCAGTACTTGAGATATAGAGAACAAACTTCAAACAGAGCCCCACCCCTATGCCCCTACGGGGGTCATACCCACCAATTATACAAAATTGAGTCACCGTAACCCAAGGATGCTCCACACTAAATAAGGATAAAATCCCTTAATCCAGATGGTTGGAGAAGGATTTTAAAGGTTTTACCATTATTTCTCCTAATGGGCCCCACCCTTCTGCCCCCCTAGGAGACCACACCTACTGCTAATACATAATTGAGTCCCCTTGCCCCAAGGATGCTCCAGACTAAATTAGGATAAAATCCCTTTCTCTTTGGTAGAAGAAGGATTTTAAAGGTTTTACCTATATTTTCCCTATTGAGCCCCGCCTCTCTGCCTACATGGGGGTCAGACACACCGTTTATACAAAATTGGTTCCCCTTCACCCAAGAATGCTTAAGACCAAATATGGACAAAATTCTGTCATTCCTACCGAAGAAGAAGGATATTGAAGATTTACGTCTATTCCCCTATTGGGCCCCACCCCTCAGGTCCCAGGGGGGCCACACCCACCGTTTATACAAAATTAGTTCCCCTTTACCCAAGGATGTTCCACACCAAATATGGACCAAATCCTTTCATTCCTACAGAAGAAGAAGGATTTTAAAGAATAATTTGCTATGTTTCCCCTATTGGGCCCCGCCCCTCAGGCCCCTGGTGAGCCACTGAGACCCATGGTTTATACACAATTGGTTCCCCACTACCCAAGGAT